AAGCTTGTAGTAACACCTCATCCATTAGCTGCTGACAGGGATGGAATAAAGTGGACATTATGGCATAATCCTGTATCACTCTGTAATTCATACTGAGTGGTCCAGTCATGATTTGGCTTAATATATAGAGAGAGATCTGACAAGAGGAGCAACAAAAGAGCCATAAATATGTAGAAAGGGAGAGCAGGCGAGCGACTGAGGGTGAATTGTTGTAGAGGACCTGAGTCCTTCAGGCCTTCGCATTCCTAAGTAGCCTTGGTGTGTTGTGTGTGTGTGTGTGTGTGTATGTGTGTGTGTGTGTGTGTGTGTGTGTGTGTGTGAAAACACCCGTCCACAGGTGCTTGCTGTAAGGGGCTTTGACCGCAGGCTTGAGTTTCCAAAACACTGGCTTACACCAATACACAAGGGAGTGTATGCATGTGTTTCTGCCAGCCCTTCATCAACTTGTAAGGGTCTGTTCCACCAGAGAAGATGTGCATGGGTTGTGTGCCTGTACTTGTATTACTTGTGTTGTGGGGACATAAATCTGTTTGCACAGTCCGATCGCGTGGACTTGCCTCAAAAAGCAAATCCCCACATTGTAAATCATTCAAAATGAGGGTGAGGATTTGGTTTATAGGTTAAAGTTAGGTAAGTAGATGCATTACGGTGATGTGTGTGAAGAAGAGAAAGCGTTCCAGGTTTGCCTAAAGGAACACCAGCTACTGATCCGCACATTCACACACATTCAATACACACACCCACTGGGTAAACACCTCAGCGTAATTATGACTGACAGTGTAAAGAGTGTAACTCTACCCTCTCTTTTATCTGCGCGTATCTTTTTTTAAATGCATACTTGTAAGAGTAAATAGTTTTGTTTCAAGTGTATAATTGCTGTAATAAGATATTTACCCATTATTATGATGGTCCACAGTGACAGAATACCTATTCAAACAAATCATTAGGCAAGCCAGTGGCTTTTTAGGACATGTTTGTTTTTCTTTCTTCCACCTCCTCATCCTCATTGAAGGGTTTTTCAGTAGCTATACTTTCTACTCCAACTCATCCCAAAGCATCTCACTTGGGTTTTGATTGTGGGGGGCCATCAGATTTAGCCCTCCAACACTCTCCGTCTTGGTCAGGTTTCCCTACCAGGGCCTGAAGACGTATTTTGGATCTTGCTGAAAAACTAATGATGGGTCCCTCTAAGCCCAGTTAGTATGTAGTGGTACTCATGTTAGTTAATAAAGCAGCAACAGTGTCACCAGAAAAGTCCCCACGCTCCAACGCAACTTCTCCTCCATGTTTCACGGTGCATGTAGATACCATCAGTTCATTTTCTCTGCATCTCACAAATTTGTACACAGACAAATGTACGGATATCCACTTGTGTAATGTCTATTCCCTGTGTTTCTTCATCTAGCTTCTTCTTATTTGTCTTCTTCATGAGTTATTTCTATGCAGCAATTCAACCCTGAAGATCTGATTCACGCAGTCGTCTTCCAACAATGGAGATGTGTCTGCTATTTGAACTTTGGGAAATATTGGCTCTAATCTGAGATGCTGTTAATTAGCTATTATAATTAGCGACTTCAGAGGCTGGTAAGTGGTCTTGGTTTTTCTGTCCTTAGACAATCCTCCCAGTGTTTGATGCATTTCTGTTTTGTGACAACACTGAAAACGTTCATTGCTGACTTTCACCTCATAAAGCAATTTGGTATATAATAATTAAAACAATAATAAAATAATAGTCATTTTTCTTTACTTAGTTGAGCAGTTCCTGCCATAGTAGCATTATCCAGTTATGTGAATAGAACGTACGCTCTGCTATCTGGGGACGTGAGTGGAGGATCAGGTGTGTTTCTATATATATGTGTGTGTGTGTTTAACTGTCTGTGCACTGCAAAGCTTGTGAATGAAAACAGCATTAAAGCAAAACATACGATGGCTGTGTTCCAGTGAAATGTCCCGGCCGGGTTTCACAATCTTGGTGCTCTGGAAATGACTCTCAACCGTTATTAAAGCAATTAATTACATCCGCGCCTGGCCTGCTATGACATGTTAAAATATCTATGAAACTCATAAAACTAATGACACTAACTGTAAAAACTGCCAAACAGAAACTGTATTGGTAAAATCTGTATCATCTGCCAAGAGGAAGAGCTTCTGTCTGGGAAGACATCCATACATAATACACATACAAATGCTTATTTTAAAAGTATGAATGTAATTATTTTTACAATGAACTAAATGGTACAGCCACACAGTCATTTACTCATAGCTAATTTGTGCATGCTCAGTAACTTCTGGTACTTACAGCTTCTTCCAACGCAGTAAAACTGTCAACCTGCAGCAGGAAGAGGGTGAGCTGCCATTGTTTGACACCTGTGGTAATTTATGGGAACATAAAGACCGCACTACAGGAAAACTATTCTACAGGCCAGTTATTGCAAATTTAGAGTGATATTCAAAGAGAGTGCATCACCCAGGATTATCACATTTCTGAGCCTTATTTGGGATGATTTATGAATGATAAGCATCACAAACAGAAATATAAAGAAAACACTTTTATCCATACGGTACTTAAGGCAATACTTATTTGACAGGTGCTCATTTTAAAATTTTATGAGAAGCCATCATGCAAAAAGTTCACCAGGCATCATACTGACACACTCGTATCTTCTGCAACTGGTAAGAAATATGGCCAGATACTTCGATTATTATTTGGATGACAATTACTATTTTACGCAGTGATGCACTTTTTTTTTCAACTTACAATATAAAAAGAATAGGTGGTGAGGATCTTCCTACATTTTATCAATGAGGTGAAAGATAGAAAGAGTTCAGCTGAATATGCTTCTTTGGCACGACTGTCAGGTGAACAACACCGCCCAAGCATCAAAGATGACATAATTCAAAAATGGTTTGGGGAAATTAAAAAGAAAAAATAAAGATGAAAAGAAAAAGAAATGGCAAAAGAGACGAAAGATAGCAAAACATGTGTTTTTTTCTGTGTGTGTTCCATGTATGTACCAGGCTATGTCCAGATGATGTTTAAATTGTATGTGCATCAGTTTGTGACAAGCAGTCACATGTTATACAGCTAGTTATGTTGTGTGTCCCTCTCCTGATACAATCTGTTGCTTTATACTGTCATCTAGCTCTGTTAAATTTGGGATTAACAAAGTAAATTTATTAAAGCGTGCCTATATTATTTCATTTGTCACATTTTAAGAGGAAATGCATTTAGTTTTTTTTCTCTGTCCACATCAAGGACTTCTGTGTCTTTGGTACGTGATTGTTTCTAAAGTCACTCAGACTTCAAATGGATTATTGCTGTAAAACATATGCATGCCCTCATACTCTCTCTCTTTCTCTCTCTCTAGCTCCACTGTACTGCACACATGCATACACACTCGCTGTCTCTCTGTGTTACACAAACAGTGTGACTAAGAGAAGGGCAAATGACCAGACTAAATAGTTTACTCCTACTGAGATTTGGAGCAGACAGGCTTAGTCACACTCAAACAGATGGAGAAATTAAAAGCAGGAATAAAAGGAGAGACAGAGCTCACATTTGACAGACATCCAATGTAAGGCCCCTTTATATTTTTATCAGTGTTTATATAGGTGACATTTAAACGTGAGACTTTCCGACTCATGTAAAGCCTGCCAGTCAAACTCTGTCTGGCTGAACGGCACAAGAAGAAACAAATACACAACAGCACAAGCTATGACGGACCACACATACTGTACACATGCATGCAGACATAGTGGGAGAGAGTGAAAGAAGCAGTTCATTAACACTCCCTGTTTGAACAGGTGTCTGCCTGACATGCATGGGTGTGAGTGTGTGTCTGCAGAGAGTCGGGTGGGGGAGACGTCACTCTTCACCGTGAGCGTGGAACCTGCTTCTCTGAAGCTTCCACTGTATTCTAGTGTTTGTGTAGAGTTTGTAATACAAGTTAATCCATTTGTAACTTCTTCCTGGTGCAGTTAGCCACCTCTGTCACATTTAGTTGATTTATCATCGCAGGAGTTGATGTCATTTTGTATTCAAATGTTGAAAAAGATAATGCAATGATTTGACTTGTTTTGGTCACTAAAAAAAAGATGTTTTTACTCCAAATCTGGCAACACAATATTTGATTCATGCTCTTTAACAGGCTCAAGATAAAACTTTTAAATTGATAAAGAATGGATGACATAAATGGAAAGACACTCCATGCACAGCTTTACTTTCTTCAGCTTTTCTTCCATATTTCAAATTAAAACTTGTGTCTGTTTCAAGTTGTTGCATAGTTCTACTCATATCATTGTCATCTACAGGTGTACTGCAGCTCCTTCCACTGGAGATTCTACAAAGATATCCTCCTTTATCCATGTGGTGCAATGTAAAGACCAACTAGTGTAGGTGTAACTTCAGTTCTGAGACTGTTCACTTCGTCATCTTCTAACCATGTAGTGCTCTCAAAAAATATTTTATATTGGTTCCGTCTTTTAAGGCTGTAATATTAGTTTTAAAAGTACAATTCACATTTCCTGTCTTCACCATCTATTTTTTCATTAATGCGGTTATCAAAGTGGACTTTCTCATGCATCATTTCCTGAATTCCAAAGCTTCACTCTTGTAGCTGTTTGCATGCAGGCTGTGTGTCCACAAGTTCCAACTGCGTCTTCAGTCCCGAGGGGTCAGAGTTGAAATCTGCACCTGTGCTCAAGACTAAACAACTGTACCTGCCTCCAACGAAAAATAAATACCTGAAAACGCACACAAACTCTGCGTGTGTTTTCTGGCGGTGCACATGTGGCTTAAAGGTATTGTCCCCTTTTCATCCACACTATTCTTTGCCTCCTATTGTACAGGAATACAAAGACTTTACATATTTCACACACACCCACATTAAATTTAACCGGTTGTTTTGACTGGTGATTACGTAACAACATTTTCTTAAGGTCGCTTCACGCAGCTAGCAAAACATTCACACACATTTATTAAAATGAAAGCAGGGCTCCTATTTTTTTTTTACAAGCAGCGAGAAGAGCCCCGCTGCTGAGTCTTTATTCAATGAGTGCAATTCAGTGTCAGAAACAATCAGACATCGATCAATAAGAATGACAGCTTCCATTATAAGTGTACTCAGTGTGCGTACAGAAACATCTTATGGGATATCCAACTCCTTGAAATTCTCAGTAAAATTCTTCATCTTTTGCTGTTGAGCACAAATATTTAAACTCAGTAGTTCACTGGCTGAAAACAGACGGACAGCTACAGCTGAAGCAAAGTAATGGCCATCTTCATATTGCCGTTGTCTGCTTTGCCAAACGGGTACGCTGTGCCTAATCACAGAAGTAGAGGGGGGAAAAAACTAAAGTCATATAATTGCTTGAAATAAAATACTATTTAAAGAATCTAAATTATGAAAAATAAATTAACAACACACTTTAGACATCTCAGATCTATTCAAGAGTGTATTTTTCTGTCCAATTACATCTCAGGTAATAATCTTAAACATTGACATTTGGAAAAGGAAAAAAAATAACATATATTTATTAATTTAGCAAAAACAAAAAAGAGCCGTACATCTGTCTAGATGATGGTCTCCTTTGTTAATGTGTGAAATCACCAAATATTTTTGGACTACTATCCACATTACTTAGATCAGTTATTTAATTCATAAAAATTGTCTTAATTTTGCGCTCAGCTACCTGAGTGGCCATGTTGGCTGGATTTGACTGAATTTCTTCAAAGGTATCTGGATAGTGATAGGATTAATGTGTTAGATTGACAACAAAATGTTCTTACTTAGGGTCTGTTGTCTTTGAATGCCATACGGCTGAAATATTTTTTAACTGGATAAAACCAAAAAGATATTTAGGATTAAAGACTGAATGATCCATCTGTTTGGAGATATAGATAAGGAGTCAATTGTAATCTTTATTTGCAAAGTTTGGATGAGTGAAAATAAAAATCTGGTCCAAGGAGAGCAAACTTTGAGACTACAGGAGTTAACAAAGCAGCACTACTGCCCTCTGCTGACTACCTTTGCAGTTCTTCACAGTTGCTCTCAGTTTGGACAAACATCATAGTGACTAGAACAGCTTCCAAAAAAGAAAAAAGATGAACCATTATCTATAATACTGTTGAAATGTTTTCTCCTAAAAGAGAGGAACAACGTAACTCAACTCTAGTCTTGAAACAGTGTAGCAGAAATAAAACTAATCAAACTAGGCTTGAAGATGTCTTTCTTATCTGCTATGTCTGAAAGGGATGGGACAACTGAGGTGGATTTTAGTCAGACTCTATGTGCGTATTAATTTTGCCTCACACGGAGGACAGAACAATATTTAGAGGAGATCAAATCATCTACATCTCAGCCTCCATGTGTTGCTTTCTCCTCTTGTTGTGCTGGTGCTTGGTGAGTCCATACTTGAAGAACTCATAGACCGACCAGCTGATGGCTGTGGAGGGCATCTGGTAGATGATCCTCGCTTGGACTCCCTTGAAGAAGCCCGGCAGGCCGCCCAGCCTGTAAACCGTCCGGAAGGCGTGGGCCAGGCCTGAGATGCGTCTGTGGGCTCCTTGGCCTTGGCCCTGGCTGGGGCCTTGACCGGAGGAAAGGGAGCTGAGGGTTACAGACTCCTGGGTGTTGAGCAGGGTCTTGCACACATCCAGAGGCGTGGTGGCTGCAGCTGCGATCGCTCCAGCCAGAGCTCCGGACAGCATGTGGGACGAGGGATTGTATTGTCTGTGTGGGTTGAGCAGCTCCTGAAGGTACTCGTAGGTCATGAAGTGGAGCGCCTGGAAGGGCACGTTCATGGTGAGCTGGGTGGTGTAGCTGCGGTAAAACGCACCGGGGCCCTCTTTCTGCCACACGGCGCGTACACAGTCCAACACGCCGCGGTAGGGCGAGTTATACATCTGCATGCGTTGCTTCACAACTGTGGACGGATGGGTAGATGTTTGGATGGAAGAGGGCCAGATGTGTCCAGGGTTGGCATTACCAAGGTTAAAAAAAAAAATAAAAAATTGATAAATTAGCAAGCCATTACCTGCAATAAAGCTGTACTTTGAAGAACAAGTAGTTTGAATAAACACAGAAGGATGTAGAATGTCATATTGAATAGCATTAAACAGCTGCAGTCCATCTAACAGCTGCACATGAAGACTCAGACCAGTGTCCTTCTACTGACATGTCTGGGCAGGTGGACTAGAGGCAGCTGTGAAAGTGAATATGTGAGACCAGCATGTGAAGATAGCTGGTCCAGGCGTGGCACCTGTAAGTTTCTTCATTAAATCTCAAAAGAGACAAAAAGCCTTGACACCATCCTAACTCTAAGACGCTATATGTGTAAAATGCTGCCCTTACCTTCAGCTGGGTTCATGGCGGCATCGTGAAGCAGTGTGGCTACACACCCAGCCGTTCCTGAAACAAACACACCTCGGAAATTATTACACATTGAGACAATTACGACGGACAAAGACACTGGACGAGACTGCAGTAAATGGAATTTTTTCGCTTGCAAGAAAACCCAGTTGATCATATCACAGCCTTTACTGCCTTATTCTGAAAAGCTGCAAATTATTGTGCCAATATCAATGTTATCAGAGCAGACTTGGTACATATTCAGTATTAAAATGCACAGGGGATAAAGCAAATATCACTACTGACCCTTTTCTCGAGGTCAAACCTGAGCATAGAGAGACACCTAGTGGATAACGGAATTCATTGCTCTTGTTGGGAGGTATAAACCATGCCCATGAGCTGGAAAAACCAGGACCGACAAGGGAAAGAGCAGATGAGACGGGAGAAAGAGGACTTACCCAGCCTCCCACTAAACTGAAAAAGAAGGAAGAGAGAAAGTAGGGAGAACAAGGAAAAGGGAAAGGTTGACATTCAGAGCAAGGCTGCTAAGTTCAATCTCTGCTTAAATCTGTTTCTATATTGCAGCTGAGGTGATTTGAATTTAATAGGACTAACTTTTCTGCTTCTTTAAAAGCCAATGAGAGGCTGACAACTGTGCCTGGCTTTTCTTTACAGTGTACAGCTGTAGCTATAAAAAGGATCTATCTAATTTGATAGCCTGGAAGGGGTTTTTTTTGGACTTGTCAGGCAATACACATTATTAGGCTGAGCTTCACAGATCACGAGGAAGGTGTTTGACATTAGACTTGGAGATGAACCAGTCCTAAATGTCAACCAACCTTTAAGTGATCTTAAAATTAAGATAGCTACACATGATTTGTACATTAATGGAATATACATGCACGTTTTTTGGTACCATTAGCCAAATGACTGTTAGCCCCTGGATGAATGACATCACTTAGAGTCTTTTTGAGTTTCTCATAGCTGGCAAAATAGAGGGCATGGGCAGGTCCCGCCCCAACGGCTGTCGCATTCAGGCCTCTCAATGGCCGCCAGACTCCCTCTGTGGCTACAATCCGGCGAAGCGCATCCATCACATTCCTGTAGCGGGCCGCGGGGTCTGGCTGGAGACTCTGCATTCGTGTCTGGAAAACACAGTGGAATGGAGATAAGTTCAGAGTCACCAACTATCAAATTCAAACTAGTTATAACTTTAGTGCCATGCTTGATAAATTTGACCTGAATAGGATATTTAAAAAATAGAACACAATGCATAATTTAAGCTGTTCCGTATGTCTGCACATTACAGCAAAGAATGGCATTACAGTGAAACGAGTCCTGAATAGACTGCAGTGTGAACAAGAGGTCAAACGAGGGAAATACGCCGTTTGATATTGTGTGCGCTGCTTGCTAGTGTGCATGCATAATTGAATACAAGGAAGTCTGCAGCGACGAGCTCCAAGGTCACAAGGGGACATAAGCTGACTTCCTGTAAGCCTATTTCCCACTGACCCTGAAGCACCTTACTCTCTTCCTCCTCACACACACTGACGTAAACGATAGATTATATCAACGCTGTCCAAAAGACAAGTGCAAGCGATCGGCGTTTCAGTCGCCTGCTATTTGATATTTAGAGAGGGTTGCCTGGGGACAGACCGGGTGAGTGAGTCTGTCTCTGAGGAACCAGCAGCGACATAATCCCCCAAATACCAAACTTCCAGCTGAATGGACAAACTTACACCCAACTGTGTGTGCGCTGTACTTGGAAACATGGCGTCATGTCACCCTATACTACGGATGCCATATGCAGGGCCTAAAGATCGCTGGTCAATGGTGGCATATATATGACACACAAGCCCGGAGTTTACTCTCTTTACATACGAGCGAGGAGAGGCTGTAATGTCAGTACCCCTCCATTCAACCATCTGTGCCAGCTATAGATCTGCTGTTCTAAATCTATAGCTTGTGTTTGCTTTACTAGAAAGCAATGACCTTTGTGCTCAATGTGAACACAGCATTCCCCTCTGTTTAAAGAAAAAGATTTCAGTGTGTTTCTTTCAGTAACTCCAGAACTGTAAACTCTGTTCTTAAACCCTTTACAGTGTACACTCTGACTCAGACCTACAAGTGGAGCACACTTCTTTAGATCCACAACCGATTACTGGGATTTAGGATACATGAATGAATGACAGCCTATTCTAAACTATAATTACACAACAATCTCTTAAGTCAGAAGCTTATGGTACTGGAGGAAAGGCCTGCATTTGGTATAAGGGGGAAACTTTAAAAAGAAAAGGCAGCTACTGTATGCATCGAGAAGGAATGTTATCTACAGCTCAAATATTTCTCATTTTCCTGCAACAGATTTCTTTATCTAGAAATGTGTCTTCTAGCGTATGTTCTATTTTAGGGAGATGTGATTTAGCATGCAGGTACTCCTTATGTTGCAGTTCATCACAAGGTCCCATATCTCATACATTAAGTATGCTTGGAAAGACGCTGAGCTGCATTAGCAAGTGTTAGCAGACATCAGACAGCTCTTGATTAGGTTTGTGGCTGCACCAGAGGTGAACTGCAGGTGGAAGAGACATGGATGAAGCATGAGCATATATGAACAGCCTTTCAGTGTGACATGGACAGCTGACATGACTAAGCTCATTGTCACTTGCCCTGCCTCTCTGTCCCTCTGCCTGTTGGACAATGATAATCGACAGCACATGGCTACAACTACTGACCTGTTGGGGTGATAGGTCATGAATCCTTACATATGTTGACAGCAAACACAGAGAGAGAAACTCACTCACACATAACAGATGACAAGATTTGGCCCAGTCAAGTTGCATGTGATCTGAAGACAAGCAAGTGGCTGTGAAGTGTGAAGCAGTAGGCCTGCTGTCTCAGTGAATGGCAGTTGTTAAAGTAGCAACAGATGCAGCAGTGTGAGCTGGAGGGGCCAAATTGTGTGATTCATCCTTGTGTGTCTTGTAATAACAGCAGCAGGAAGGACACAAGTTACAGACATAACATTAAACCAGACTTGTTTTTGTAAGCAGTGCGTGCAACTCATCAAAACTGTTGTTGTAGCTGTTAAGTAGTGCCTCTCATTAGCCAACAGTACTGCCATTAACTAACTCATTTACACCGTTACATAACAGTACATCCGCTCAAGCTCTGACAGCACCCAGTAAGTTAGTACATATCCGATAAGTAACCCACTTGAGTTAAATGTGAACAAAAATTACCTACTAGCTAACGGTATTCCTAAGAGCGGGCTAACCAGTTAGCTAGTTGGTATGTGAAACGCTAACCGAGCCGACTGACCTTGTCCTCACAACAGTCAGCTGCGGCGTGTTTAGGTTAGCGAGCGGCTAATGAGCTATGCTAACACGCACGTTGGCCACAGGAATAACGGCAGCAGAAAGACAACGGACAGGCAGGATGTGAGAGAAATCGATATTCACACAAAGTTGTGGGTCAGCTGGTTAGCCAGTGAGCTAAGCTACCTTAACACAGTCGATAGGGAACATGAGGCAGTGCTCCATGATCCCAGCCACGGCTCCAGCCAACATGTGGGTGCTAGTGGAGGCTCCCTGTGGCAAACCCTCATAGTCCGGTTCAGAGTCCTCTGTTTGTGCATCTTGTGCATTGCGGATAAAATCAACAGTCTGTAGTTCCGTCTCCCCTCCGATCCGGGGTGTCAGGCTTCCCACGATACTTTCCGAAACTCCCCAGAATCTGCCCCCCAGCCATCGAACTTCTGCCCCGGCAGAGGCTCCAGCAACCCCGGGATCATTGCCTGTAGTCTCCGCGGTCATCCGACGCCTCCTCACAAATCCATCTGTTTCCATGAGAAACCAGGCGATGCGTTGGGTCTTTTGGCTCGCGTACACGGCTCCTTGTGGGTGATTTTTTAGCCCGAAATTTCTACATTCCCCTGGGGTGGTTTTGCAGCGTCGCCCCTGCTACAACTATTCCCTCCCCGCCTCTACTCTTCCCAGTCAGAGCTCAGCGAGGGAGGCCGTAACGGACAAACACACACCGAGCCCACCGCAGGCCGCGACTAGGAAGTAGTCTCTGATTGGTTGAAATAGCCAGTCCTCCTCACGCTATTGGCTGACAGACACGCCACTCGTGGCTGCATTTTGGTGAAGACTTCAAACTCTGTCATGTGGCACTTGACATGAGGTTTTGCAACATGGGCGCACATCTGCGAAAGCTATCTAAAAAGCCAAAGTCACCCTAGGTCAGTCTAAAATAAATACAAATGTAGTTGCTGAGAAGCAAATAAAGAGCATACGGTTATAAGTGCGGTTTCAGTTTAATCTGTAGGCCGTCACTTAGTAGCGCTGGTTTTCTTTTGAACTGTTGTCTAAGAAATAAAGTGGAATCAGTGTGTCTTCCATGAAGTTTTTTTTTTCAACGTACTGGGAAACTATTTGACAAACAGTTTGATAAGTATTATTTGCTGTTGTTCTTGGCCAACAGGTTGCAGCCTCTTAATGTGTAGATAGTCAGCTATGGGCAAAAGCAAGCTAACTATGTGAAAAGCTGAATAACAAAAGCTGTGTTGCAAGTTTACAAAAATTTAACTCAGCAGCTCACCAATGTTCACTCCAAAAACCTGTCTCTGTCACTCCCCCCACTGAAAGGTCATGCAGGCCTTTGGTGTTTTCCCACTAGATTACCTATCTAAGTGTGAAACTAGGATCCCATCAGTCTGGTAAAAAATATACAAGCTGGTATATTGGTGAAAGCGTAATTTGAGCATTTTTACAAGCATCATTTTTATACATTTGTAAAGCATTCAATAAAAATAGCACATGATTCATGCAGTTTTAGCCTGCTATAATAGGTTTTGGATCATATTTGAAGGACAACAGCTAATAATTATTCTCATATCCCTTAACTCACCAAACATGCCTTTGGTTTAGAATCAAATCAAAGCCCAGATCTCCCATGTTACTTACACCACAAGTCAAAAACCTGCTGATACTTTCTGGGTAAATGATTTAACAATTCCTAGATTATTATACATTTTAGATTGTTGGTCACCACACATAGACAATTGTTGTCAAATCAAGTGCTCAGGCTCTACCTTGTGCCACCTGCAGGTATTCAAATGTGTTCATTTTATCATAAAAGCTATTCAAATATTACACATGGAACCAATTACACAACCACACCACTCCATTTGAAATCAGTTGTCTCTTTTTTTGTCATGGCAAAAATTGATTTAAAAAAAAAAAACGTGAATTTGGTTTTTCATTGGGCTGCAAGGTAGAATAGAATAGAATAGAATAGAATAGAATAGAATAGAATATAGCATTATTGATCCCTTTGGTGCAAACTTCAGGGAAATTGTTGTACTAGAAAACAACAACACAACACCAACACAACATCATCATCAATAGTAACAACAACAATAGTAACAATAATAATAATAACACTGGATACAGTAACAAAATTGTCAAAGTGCCTAAATATTCGCCACAGTCCGGTGATAGAGCATGATGCTATATCTCACCCCAATGTCCTCACTCCTCCCCTCTCTCCCCACCTCTCCCCGCTTGCTGCTCCTCCCCCTCCCCCTGAGCTCAGAGTTGAACAGTTTGATGGCTCTGGAGACAAAGGAGTTTTTGGTCCTGTTGGTTTTGCACCTGGGGAGGAGCAGCCTGTCGCTGAACTGGCTCCTCTGAGCGATGATGACAGTGTGCAGAGGGTGGCTGGCATTGTCCATGATGGCCAGCAGTTTGTTCAGTGTCCTCCTCTCTGCCACTGTCACCCGGGAGTCCAGTTTCATGCCCACTGCAGAGCTGGCCTGCCTGATTAATTTGGTGGCACAGTTGATAGCACTGTTGCCTCGCAGCAAGAAGGTTGCTGGTGAGGACACCTGGGATCTTTCTGTGTGGATTTTGCATGTTCTCCCTGTGCAGCGTGGGTTCTCTCTGGGTTCTCTGGCTTCCTCCCACAAAAGTCCAAAAACATGTTGAGGTTAATTGGTGATTCTAAATTGTCCGTAGGTGTGAATGTGAGTGTGCTTGGTTGTCTGTCTCTAAGTGTAGCCCTGTGATAGACTGGTGACCTGTCCAGGGTGTTCCCTGCCTTCGCCCTAAGTCGGCTGGGATAGACTCCAGCCCCCCTGCGACCCAAGTGAGGATTAAGTGGTGTATAGATGATGGATGGATGGATAGATGGTTTTTCATCATAATCCAAATGAGACTCTCTTTACTGTTGTCTTTCCTCATCTTGGGTCAGTTTGATAAGGAAAGAACCTAATAAGGTACTCAAATGTTCATTCTACACTGTAACACCTTTTATGGACTGCTGTGAGACAGTAGCTTATGCTTTAATAATTATGAATGCTGAGAGGCCTCACATCTCCACCAGTGAACCTCTCTGCCTGGAGGCGTATAGGATGACATTTTTTCCAGAAAATGGGGTAATTGTGTTTCGGTGCGGAGCTGTTATGACATAATTGAATTTTCTCCTTTATTGCCTGGGAGAGCCTTCAACGGCTGCAGTGTTGAATTTCTGCCGACAAAGGGAAATGAAGTGTTAATTTCTGCTTACAAGAACAAAATCTCCTGCCTGGATCTTCTGATCTAGTTATGGTTGATTGGCTGTTGTCCGCAGACGTTCCTTAAAGGAAAACCAAGCAGACAGCACATCAGGATCATTTCTCTTCCCTGAAACTAATGCTACTCTAATACACCAAGGGAGAGGCATGTTAGGTCTAGCAGGAAACTCTAGATCACCATAACACCTCATTTCATTCCCTCTTACAAGAGAGTGCACAGTCTATATAAACCTCAGGAATTATTTTACACTGTCTAAGCAAAACACAGTCAAAAATCCACATTATATAGACAAGATGGGAGGATAACTTGCTTATATTCTGCTGTGTTTGGTTGTTTTCGTGCCAATTAACACTCTCTCTTCCTTAGATCCCATCTCCCTCTCCAGCTCTGTCTACTGTCCAGACCGCTGCTTAGGCCCACAGCGTGATCCATGGCCTCTTAGCTCATTAATGCATAGTAAATGAACCACTAGGCCAACATGACATCTTCAACAGCAGCACTAGGAACTCATTCTTTGTGAAGTGCTCATCTTAAAGCTCTTAATGTGGGCCCTTATCATGAGATGACCCGAGTTCAACCCCAAACCAGCGCTAAGAATGGAGGCAGGGATGGCACTTTTTAAATATTATGCTTTTTTAAAGTTTGTTAATGAAGATATCACATGAACTTTGAGGAGCAAATGCTGCTTTTCACATGCAAACATTATTTAGCCATTTGCAAATTCACAAGACAATATAAGGCATTAATCAATAGTTGCTCTTATTCTGATGACAACATGAAAATATTTACAACATGCAAATATAATGTAGAATCAATAAGCTTTGACTGACTGCTGAGACATTAGTAATGGGCCTTTAAAGTTATTCTAGATGTTAGAAAACCATGACGAGGACATTGTGGATCTGGTTTTATGGAACAACTGTGCCACCAAATGGACACCTGCAGAATGACAGGATATTATGACATAATTTTTTACCATTCGTTTTGTTTCGTTCTTCCATATGAGAAGGTTATGACTAACTTTGAAACAATGGATTCAATAGAAATGTCACCCTTTTTGGCGCATATAAACTGCGCGTCATTGGATGCGTAATTTTGCCGCGTCTGTGGATCAAAACATGAACACTTTCACCGCACTTTACAAATATGTGCAACAAATACTGTAACTAATTTCCATCCAAAGCAGGGGGCGCAAGTTGCGTCTCTTGCAATAAACCCGGATCTACTTTCCGTAGCTCTATGGGAAAGTGGGAGGGATTGATGTAGCCCAGGGCTTCAGACTCCTGCCATGGCTGCAGCGGTGTGGACCGATCGAGGGCGGAGGGCAGCGACACTTGTAGGGACGCTGACTGGGTCCAGGTCAACTCACACCGCTTTGAAATCTCAGTATGACGCGCTGGTCATCGGCGGAGGTGAGATCTGTAAACTGACTTATAAAGTGCAGAAAACACTCAGGAGCTGAGCTGGAGCTGACACAGCGTTTCAGCTAAGTTTGCTTAAGTTTTCTCAGAAGAAGATGCCATTTCCAAGAAAGTTGCTTCTGCATGTCTTAGGCTTTGCGTCTCTGCAGGACCACAGTTTGATCTGAACTCACAGCAGCTCAACTTCACTGTGAAAATGACTGCAGAGTAGTTTGCACCATGTGCCAAACAAACAAACAAAAAAAAAGTAATTTGTGTGCCAGAGATCATTTTAAGTAAAACTGACATAATTTGTTTTTCATTGCAGGACACAATGGACTGGTGGCAGTGAGTTCATGCATTTATTTCCCAACACCTGCTGTACAATCTGCAGTAATACCTACAAGATTCTGCAACAGGGTAAAGGTGATGTGTCTTTTGTCTGTGTCTGCAGGCTGCTTATCTTCAGAAGGGAGGACTGAAGACTGCAGTGCTGGAACGCAGACACGTGCTGGGAGGAGCAGCTGTTTCCGAGGAGCTCTTCCCCGGTAGGATGGCCTCTGGTTTGGGAATAATCCTGCATCAGCTGAGATCAGAAAGGAAAGGTTCACCCAAATTTAACAAACAGCAGCAGTAACAGAACACTTACCCCTCGTGGCTCATTGCACAGTGATGTAGCAACTCAGAACTGAGAAATAGTCCACTGGAACACCAGCTGCTGTGTGGATTATACAGAATTTAGAGTTACAGGGGCATGCAACACATACAAAGAAACCGCCAGCTGTGCAGAAGTACTGATTTTGTTGTAATTTGGGTGAAACTATTCTGTACAGGTGGAGGGATTTGGTATTTTAATTGCAAAGAAATGTGTCAAAAGGGATTGAGTGATCACTATGAGTGTACCTGGAGTGTAATTTGTCATTTTTACATAGCATCATGCACAGTTCATTTTTGTGACACTCTTGTTGGCAGGTTTCCGCTTCTCCAGGTGCTCCTACTTGCTCAGTTTGTTACGACCGCACATATACAAAGACCTCGAGCTCAAGGTACACACAGCCGTTTTACACACAAGATAGGCCTGGTTTTTGAGCTCTTTATTGTGTTCATTCTTGTTGTTTTTATCCTCAACTCCTCCAGAAACATGGGCTGAAGGTGTACATGAGAGACCCCCATGCTTTCACCCCCATGCTGGAGGATGGGGTGAGAGGCGCTCCACCGAGGTCTCTCACGCTGGGCTCAGATTTGGCCATGAACCAGATGGAGATTGGGAAGTTCTCACAGAAGGATGCTAAGGTAATCCCAGCATTACGGTAGCTCTAGCAAGTCATTTTGTGTGTGTATTCAAGCTCTTAGCATAAACTGACAAAGCTGTCCACTCTCTGTTTTGACCTTTGCCCTTCCATTACCTTCCCTCTCATAGAAAACATTCCTACTGTATGCTCACCCCCGACACCTTCACCTCACACTTTGACATGTTCCCAGGCTTATCCAGAGTTTCTCGCACACCTTGAAAAGCTAGCAGGAGCTATCCACCCTCTCCTTGATGCTCCACCTGTAGATATTCCTGGCGTCACTGCTGGATCGCTGAGGAAGAGGCTGGCTGCAGCGAAAACACTGAGTCCCTTAGTCAAATGTGGTGCGTTGATGGATCCATGCTTGGAAAATTGACGTTTTATACTAAATTTTTATTGTCAGAATAACAAATTATTCAACTTGTAGTCATTGTGTGTAGTGCGGTGACTGAGTCATGGTTTTGTCTCTGAATTTAAAGGTCTGAAACTGGGCAAAAACATCCCAGACTTTTATGAGATCGTAACTGCGCCGATAATGAAGGTCTGTGACAGTTTACGCGAAGCTTTGACATCAGTTGCTGTTTTTTTATAGACGGCACAATGACTGACTCCTGCTTTGTGTCAAAGATTCTCACACAGTGGTTTGATTCGGAGCCACTGAGGGCAACGCTGGCTACTGATGGTGTGATCGGAGCCATGACCAGTCCGAGTAATCCCGGTAGTGGGTGAGACACATTTTACTGCACCCTGCAAGCTCTCCAAGTATGACCGAATTAAACCCGAACTGCTTGGGGCGGAAAAAAAAACAAAAAACAAACTGCTGTCATTGTCTTGCCTTGAAGGTATGTACTCTTGCACCATGTGATGGGAGAGCTGGAGAAGGAGAAGGGAGCCTGGGGTTATGTGGAAGGAGGCATGGGAGGTGTGTCCGAGGCTATTGCTAGGGCTGCTCGATCCTACGGTGTAGACATTTACACTGAGAAGGTAACGTGTGCATAATGGTTTGATGCTGCTTATTTTGTGGGGACATCTTTATTTTAGCCTTTATGCACATACAACATTAATCCTTCGCAGGATGTCGGACAGATCCTTGTTGGTTCCGATGGTGTTGCTAAAGGAGTGGTGCTAAAGGATAGCACGGAGATCCACAGTAAAGTTGTTTTATCAAATGCTACTCCATATGTTACCTTCAAGAACCTCACACCACAGGTAATAAAGAAAGAAATGAGACATGCTAACACCGTATCAGACATCATAATATATTCTGGCCCTTCTTTTCTTTGTAGGGCGCCCTTTCTCCAGAGTTCATGAAAGCTGTAGATCAGATAGACTACACGTCACCTGTTACCAAGATCAATGGTAAATCTGCTCTGGTTCTATCGTGCTCATCGTAAAACAAAAGTTCTGACTGCCAGAGTAATATAAAACACTACCACCCGTGAGACTGAGCAGAGATCGTTTACATTTTTTTTAAAACTGCTTTGGAGATTGACATTTAGTGTTGCAGCCTCAAAGGAAGCACAATTTCAAAGGACCAGTTTTTTTTTTTTATGTGTGTGCATTGAACCACTACTTAGACACTTTGAAAACTGTGAAGAAGTAGGAAGGTGTAATACACGTGTTCTGCAGCGCTGTGTGTTATTACAGCGTTAGATTGGATCACTCCCTAAGCTTTTGGTACTGAAAACACAAGTTAGAAAGTTTGGGGTATTATGAAACTGTGTAAAGCATACACAACTAAAGTGGGTGTTAAGGGTTCTTTAGCTGCCTTAGACTAGCATTTGTAGCTCCTGCCTGTGAATTACAGTAATGCCTGGCTTTATTGCTCAGGAAGTCTTCACTCCAAACTGAGCCTTTATGCTGCTCGATGATGGTCATGGTTGTTTTGTAGAATTTAACAGGCTTAGATTCAAGGTGAAGGATTCGAGCCACCCCAATTCAAATATTTAGTAAACTGCTCAAGCGCAGAACATTCGGCTTTACTAGAATAGAAATGTAATGAAAAGGGAAGAGCCAGCACTGATTCCCTGCCATTTTCTTTGCTGTGGCCTGTTTTTTAAAAAATGATTATTATTATTTTTTTTACAGTGGCAATAGACAAGCTTCCAAACTTCTTAGCAGCTCCCACACCAGATGACAAACCTGGACCCCATCACCAGTGTTCAATTCATCTAAACTGTGAAAGCGTGGAGGTACTGGAGACAGCATATAAAGAGGCCATGAATGGGCGTCCCTCAGCAAGGTAAATATGTCTTCACACTCATACATACATGAGCACTTTAGCACATAAAACTTAAGATTTACACTCACACAAACCAAAACCAACCACGCAAGAGACCCTACTGGATGTAAACAACTTTCCATTAATGTTCTTGCACAGATTTTCGTCATAGCTGCGGAAAATACAGGGCAAAGTGTAGAAAAAAGAGGACAAGGGGCTTGTTACTGTCGATTAGAGATTAACTAGGCAGCTGCAAAAGGCAGTACTGATCACAGCAAGTAGAACATGATGCTGAGCTCTTAAACTTTAAGCCATAACTTAGAAATCCTAAATGTAAATATCACCTTAAATATCTTTCCCTAAGTGGCCTTTAGTAGATATTTTCACCACACTTCAACTGACTCGGTTACATTGTTAACGTATTTTTTATCTCGTGATTAAACCTGGGATGAGTGAGCTTCTGTCCCCTAGACATTTGCTTTTCAAAAAGTTTCACTACAACAAAGTTTGCTTGCTTGCAGTATACTGACGAATTAGTCAGAGCTAGCCAGAAGCTAACAGCTGTTTTCGTAGTTCTTAAATGTAACTTGTAAAAAATGTACATTCTGACAAAGTTTTATTCTAAATTCTTGTCAATTACTCACACACCCTCCACTTCCCACCATCTTCTCTTATCATGATCATCTGTTCCTGTAGACCTATGCTGGAGATGACCATCCCCTCTGTTTTGGATCCTACTCTGGCTCCCCCTGGCTGCCACGTGGTGTCACTGTTCACCCAGTTCACCCCCTACCACATCGAGGGCAGGGAGTGGACCGATCAGGACCGAGAGGCCTTCGCAGACACTGGTTAGACATGCAAATGATCTGGGCGTTTTTTTTTTTTAGTTCTAAGTCTGTCAAAACTGTGCACTGCTACTACATTTGTTTCTAGCAAACTGTGCTTAAATGTGATGTAAAAATGATACATATATAACGGGAGACAGAGAAAACATTAATTTACAAATTAGATATAGGCCTATAAATATTGAAAGGTGAAATTTTTTAAAGGGTTCTTTAAATGTATATTGATTAACTTGCTTCAGTGAAACACCATGTGTCTCTCTCTGTCTCTTTAGCATTTGACTGGGTGGAGAAATACGCCCCTGGCTTTAAAAAGTCAGTGGTGGGAAGAGACATCCTGACTCCGCCTGACCTGGAGAGGATCTTTGGACTCACTGGAGGGGTATATACACTGTGGAACTGAGTGGCAATTTGAATGTTGACATGCAGCTTATTTGCTTGACATAGTCAGCTGTCCACTGGATGAGGAAGTCATTTGCGTCCTCTGCAGTGTTCACTCATTCGCAGCCTGCTCAGCGACGGGCCTGTTGTATAAGCAGTTAATGGTTACAGACAGCTTTACCACAACCCAATCAAAGTTCACACCAACTAACTCACACAACTGTTTTTACAACTGTTTCCTGTGTATTTTTGAAGCAGTCGTTGAACATATACCAGGCTGCTTTTCTCCCAATAGCATAATTATACACAAAGAGAAGAAATGAAACATGTTGGTTTTGTTTTTTGCAGAATATCTTTCATGGATCAATGTCACTGGACCAGCTCTACCTAGCACGACCTTTGCCTTCTCTCTCAGACTACCGTTCACCAATTAAAGGACTCTATCTGTGTGGCAGCGGCTGTCACCCAGGTTTGCTTTCAACGCTCACCTGAATATTAAATTACAAATGTGGCTGTTTGTTGTGTGTAGTGTAGTAATAAGCGCAATGCTTCTTGATATCTCGACTGGTAGTGAAGAGATGAACCTTTGAGCAATGAATGAAGTCTTATCTGCATAGCCGATGATAAAGAAATGTAGGTGATGTCAGGCGGCTGAGTAAACAGTGGGAAATTTCCCTACATAGAACAACACTGACTCATTCTTTTTTTCCATCTGGTGTGTGTAATGATTTTTAGGTGGCGGTGTGATGGGTTCTCCTGGCTGGAACGCGGCACTCACTGTCATGGCTGATCTGAAACATCAATGAGAAATCTCACCGCATCAGTGTGTGGTTCACTGACCAGTGCTCTACCTCTCTTTTGTGTACATTTGACCGCTTTGAGAAATCAGTTTAAGCTCTCACTCCAGCTACATGTTTGATCAAGTGTCTCTACACCTGGTTGTAAAGATATGTGCCAAATGACCCGATTTAATGAAAGAAGTGGTATGTGATGAAAGAGAAAGGGTGAGGTTGAAAAAAAACAACAAGGTCTTAATAGAGCTTGCATGTCAAAAGTCCACCAGTGGAAAAACACAAAGCCATGGTGTGACATACTTATGAAGTAGTCTAAGTGAACCAGCAGAAAATCACTAATGCTGGAGGCTGATGTATTCTTGACTCAACTGATACTTAATGATGCACTATGGGACGCTTTGCAACTTTTCAAATAAATCCAAGCAAATGTGTTTCTTGTTCTTTATATTACTGTTTTGTGTTGCATTCATTCTACAGGGATTGATGTGACTAATAATACTGAAGGCTTGTGTATGCCGTGACAGGAAAAAACACAAGTGTTCCTAATAACATTAACACCTCCCAGTAAGTACCCTGAAGCTGAAGCAGATAAATGGATTCCAGGCCTTAGTTTTAGTATTTGCTTCTTGTGCCATTTTAAAAAGCTCTCTTTGTTCACGGGAGACAGTCGGCTATTCAGTGTTTCTGTATAAAACAAAAATGAAATTAATGTGAGGATGAATTTAGTAGCAGATAACTGTTTAACTGAATGTGACCTTATGGCTTCTGAAGATCTTTTATTGATAGAGATATAAATAATACTTCATGGGAAACCAAGTTTGATCTATCTAGAACCTTAAAAATGATAACTGTTGACCTTAGTGCTAAGATTTTTAGAATTTTTTTTAAGACACCTTGTAAGTTAAGAAGAACAGACAAGTGGACTCCCATGGAGCCCTTTTAAGGTCACTTTTTGTGGAGGAATACTTATGCACAGTGAGTTTCCCTTGAAATACTTTTGCATCATCTCACAAAACATTTGCATGACCTTACATCTGCTTTAAATATATATAGTGGCCCAAAAACAACATGGATGGCATGAAAGAGAGTTTACTGTCAAAAATAATCTCCTAATGATTGTAATCTGTTTTTTTTAGTTAATTTTGTTTGCTTCCAGCTGTTTATAGGATTATTGCCTCTGAGTTCATCAAATACCTTCAGCATCAAACAGCAGCAGGATCCACATGAGTGTCTCCAGAAAGAAAGAGTTTTGTGCTTTTTTGCAAATGGAGCAACAGCAACAATTATTCCCCACATGAAGACAGGGTTGGTCAGGATGTAACGGCAAGTCACACCGTGTTTGTTTCTTGCCATCAGAGAGGTGACCTGCCACACATGGAGTCATAGTTCATAAACTGTGGGTAAATCATTACAGAGCAGCCTAACTCTGGTTGAGTCCTGAGCTTCATCACAGCTGTCAGGATAGTTTTATTTTTACTGCTGGTAAAGTATTAAATAGATTATCAGCATAGTGATTAGAGAAGGTGCTGTCATTTTAGAGTTAGTGTTTTGTTTATTAGTACATTATTATGTATTATACATCATTTAATGCACTGTCCAATATTGCGTGATTGACAAATACCGTGTAACACAGCCGCTCACTCTGTCACTGAGTGTGGTATGTGTGAATTATGCTTTGAGAAACATTAATGGAAGAGTAGTCTTGTGCTGCTATGGGGGACAAAAATGCTCTGGCTTTTTTGTATTTCTTTAAATTAATCACATTCGTCTTAAGTGGAGCAAATGAAAGATGCAGCTTGAACGTAATCTTTCCCAGGTCATGGGGAAGATGGCTCTGGGGGGAACCTACTTGATGACTCATTTTGATCAATCAAGCCTTGTTACTTATGCGTAGGATTAACTATGCATAAGTAAACTACTAAACGACTACAAAACTACTAAGTTTTAATTGCTCTTACTTTAACTGCAACACAAACAAACATTAGATAACACATTAATTAATTGCAATTATTGAAAATGATTTGATTATTGCCAAAAAACTAAGGATTAACCTTAGACAGAAGTTAAAACTTTAACATCATTATCAATGGTGTCTAAATTTCCTGATATAAAAACAATGTCAAATGACCAACAGGGATGCTTAGCCAAGACTGGCTAAGAATT